AGTCTCGGGACATGCAGTAGAGAGTGGGAACGGATTCAATGGAATTGTAATAGATAAGCATGATATCGGGGGTGGGAGGGCAGTGGATGGGGGGAGGGGGATTGTTACCTGGTGAGGGTGAAAAGGGTAACTATTGTATTGTTCTGTACATGTGAAACTAACAATAAAAAAATAAATTAAAAAAATAAAAAATAAAGTACCTAAAACTAAAAAAATAATAATAATAAAAAAAATAAAAAATAAAAGTCCCAGAGGCAATGTGTTTTACACATTATTACAGATTCTGACAACAGGAAATTTAAGTGTCTTCATTGTCCTCATAAACTGACTAAACAATTCAATCACTTGTCATGAATTATTTTCTGGTTTAGTTATTTTTTATTATGACAAATATAATCCATATATCTTTTAGGAAAAAGTAGAGATGAGTGACAAAAGCAAAGAAAAATAATCACACATGGTGGGAGCCACAGGACGTTAGAGGACCCAAGAGAATGGGGCATCAGTGCCCACTGACATGGTTACAACTAGGGGACAACATGGTATGGGCATGCCTGCAGAGGAATGGTATGGAGGTGCCTAACCATCAGGGGAATGCACTCATTTTTGAGGATAGGCAAGACCAATTTTTGGTTACCATGGAGGAAAAACCATTGCATCTTCTTTTCAGTGTACACACTTTCAGTGTACACACTGTGCACAAATGCATTATGCAAGCATAATGTTTTTACAAAAACGGGCTGATACTGTGTATGTGGTTCTGAAAAGTTTTTCTTTATTGTTGTTTTACAAAGTACCATGGACATCCCTTCCATGCACATGGGTAGAAATCCCCTACTGAAACAGAGTGCTGTAGTTGGATCAAAAGGCTGCTGCCAACAAGAGTGACACCTAAAGCAAACTATCAGCTTAAAGTTACAGCACATGGCCTGGCAAATGCCTGCCAGGGAAAGCAGGGTCAGCAATACTCTCATCAGAAAAACCAGAAATGAAGGCCAAGGGCACTAAAAATATGGGATATCATGTAAGCTCTTTTGGCCCCTACCTCCGCCCTTCACTCCCCTGACACCCCATTGGCCCTTTGGGGTGAATGGATCCTGCACATCTCTTCGCATCCAATGAAAACCACCCATTTTCTGTTTTTTCCTTAGCTCTTCCTGAGCCCTTGACACATCTCTACATTCTCTCATCTCCTCACTGCCCACGTGCCTGTCCTGTGAGTCGTCCTGATAGTCCTTGGGGGAATCGTCCGTCCCCCTGTCTGTTTTTCGTTTTGCTTTCCGAGGCACATAATCTTCAGCCGGGCGCTTCTCGGCAGCCCTCGGCTCACTCCCTGGCTTTGCCTGGGGTTCCGGCTTGCCCTCACTGCGTGCTTTTCCCTCATCTTCAGACTTGCCCAGCTTTTCTTGCTCCCCAGCATCATCTGGCTGTCCCTCGTCATCTGGCTGTCCCTCGTCCTGAAGCTTTCCCTCATGGTCTGGCTTCCCTTCCACTTCAGGCTTTTCCTCCTCATTTGACTTTCCTTCATCTTCTGTATCTACTTCATCTTCTGGCTTTCCTTCATTTTCATTGTAGAATCTTTCCATGTTGAGATGTCCCCTCCTTTTCCTGTCCTGGGGAGTGGGGTGGGGTGGGGTTAAAGGAGACAAAGAGGAGACAAGGGAGACTGAAGGCTGGGATTTGGAATGTAGGTCCGGATAGCACTGGCATCTCGCCCCTTGTCAGGGTTTCTAGACCTGGCCTTCTGCCACCCTTTCCCTCACCATCCCTTCCACACACGTGAGCCAACCGTTTCCCTAGTGGGCCCTACCACCTTCTGTACCATCCTTCAGGGTGGTGGGGTGTGTGTATGTTGTATGTGGAGGTGGGATGGGCAGTGGGCCCTCAAATTCTGTCCAAGCCGTGCCCTCCACACACACCCCGTCCCTGTCCAATGCCTCCTCTCTTTCACTGACCTGCAGGAATTGTGTACAGGTCCCTCCTCCTTTTCTAGCCTTCCAAGTGCTGATGACACAGGCAGACCTGCAGACAGCAGACAGGGGCAGGGGCTGTGTGCTCAGTGGACTGAGAGTCCTTTCCTGAATCCACACCTTCCACATTCAACGTTTCCTTCCCCTACACCTCACCCCCCCACCACCTCACCCCTTCCGCATGTCAGTCACCTTAGCTGTTTTCAGGCCTCAGTCTCCAGGCCAGGATGCTTTCCAAACTATTGGGCCTCTGTGTCCCCCTCCCCTGCAGGCAACCTGCCCCACCCCCACCCCCTTTTCGCGAAGGTCAATGTGTCCTCATAGGCGCACTGTGTGAGACAGGGCTTATTCCCAGAACATGCATAGTTTCACTGTCGCACTGCGGGGGCGCCACCCCATTTCAGGCTGGAGACTGGATGGAGGGCAGAGTTGGGGAGCCGACGAGGCGGAGGGGTCTGTAGCGGGGTCCTCCCTCTCCACCTGCCCATGCCCGCTCCGTGACACCCTCCTCCCCAATCTCCGGACCCCTCCTCCTCTCTCCCCCTCCCTTTCCCTCCTCTCCCCCGCCTCACTCTCCCCACGCCGCCGCTCGCGGATCCTGTTCCGCATCCACCCCGTCCCCTGCCCGGGCCGCCGACAGCGCCCACCTGCACACTGACCTGCGGCCGGGTCAGGCCTGCCCTTCCTCGGGCTCGCGAAAACCCGCTCGCCGCTCGCCCGCCGCCCGGGCAGCTCAGGGAGCTGGTTCCGCACGGGCGACGGGAGCGGACGGTACCGAGACCGGACCGCAGGGCGGGCGCCAGGCCTGCAGCCCACATGGGCGCCCGCCGGTCACGTGAACTACGCGTCACCCGAGTTCAGCCCCGGCCCTGCCCCTCTCACCCCCATCCCTGAGGGACCCAGCCAGGGGCAACCCGACTGCGGGTGTGGTGGCAATGGGGGAGTCACCGAGAGAGCAGGAAGGGGAGGGTTCCTGACCGCAGGTGCTTTATTTACCTGGCGCACCTCAAGTCCTCGCCCAGCAGTCCTATGAGATGCCCATTCTCGCCAGGTGTGACTGCTGATCACAGGGAGGGTACCCAGCTTCGCCAAGAGCGCTCAGCAACGGAGCCCCACAGCCCGCTTTCAACACCGGTTCTGCCTGACTCCAGAGTCCTGGGGGTGGTGCCCGCCAGGAAGCTGCGGGGCCGCCTTGAGGAGCGGTATTCCTGGGCCTCCTCTCTTCTCAGTCCACGTGTTCTCAGTCCCTGGGTGATCTCTGCTCATTTCCCTGGAAGACAGATGATTCCCAAATCTACATCTCCAGGCTGTTCCCTCTCCTGGGCCTCAGACCCTGGTTGCCAACTTTTTACTGGTCACCGCTGCTTGAATGTCCTCCGTGAGGGACCTCAAAATCCGTATACCCCAAACTGATTTCACCGACTTCCTTCTCGCCTTCTCCGTTTTCCTCTCTCCACATTGGAAACTTAACATCCCAACATTCGACCTGTTCTCATCTAGAGAGAATGTCAGACAGCTAAAAAGAGAAAGCGTTAAAACGTTTTTAATATGGACCACAGAGGAATAGATTTGTCATAATCCTTGGTTCACAGCACACTCCTATCATTAACCCCTGCTTGTCCTCCTTTCCTTTCCTTTTCGTTCCTTCCCTTTCCTTTCCTTCCCTTCCCTTCCCTTTCTTTCGTTTACTTTTTCACATTTGTGAAACCACCATCCAACCCAAGAACTAGAAAATTGCCAATATTTTAGCCCCTACAGTGTAATCACTCACACACACACACACACACACACACACACACACAGAGAGGGAGAGAGAGAGAGAGAGAGAGAGAGAGAGAGAGAGAGAGAGAGAGAATGTGTGTATGAGTGTATGGGTAAATACGGGAAACCACCAGAAACTACCGTCTGTATTTTAATTTGCAAAATACTACATCTTGTTTACACAATTACAAATTATGTGTGTGATGCAACCATTTTAATTGTATTTTTGCTACATGTTTTTTAATTTACTTAGACTCTGATCTTTCTACAATGTTTTGCTCCACCGAAATGTGTATTCACATTATAATAGTATAACAAATAATTTTATCTTCAGTGCTGAATTTTTTAGCTGAATTCATAATGTCATTTGTAACAAAGCTGGATGTTTCCTTTTCATGAATATGAACTTCCAAAAATATTTATTATTATTATTTTTTGTGAATTTGATGAAAGTAATATCAAATCACTCTTGGTATTAACCGATTTTCTGTTTTAATCGTCTGGCGATGCTTAAACTATTATCATTAATTTTTTGCTAAGTTCTTTTGCTAATGCAGCCAACATATTAACAGCTATCACTCCTATTTTTGAACATGCACAAAAAACTTGGAGTGCAAAATTGGTATAACTAAATTAGAAGAAAAATAATTTTACCTAAATTAGAAATTTTGTTTATAGAATGAGAAGTCAACACAACTTCTGCATCTGTACTAAACTGACATTCTTCTTAGAATAACTATGACCTCTGAAGTAGATGCAAATTTGTTTTCAGCAGGTTTGTAGATTTTAGTTCCCATGGGGTCAATCACATCACTACTGTCCCCTGGTACAGAGTAAATGTTAGCAAACATTAGTGTTAGTTAAATGTTTATCATTAACTTTCTTAAGAAAATGAAATTTGTTACTCAATTTTCTATTCATAAGCAATTTTGTTTCTTATCAAAAAATTAATGAATAGTTGTAAACAATAAAATGTATATAGTTGTAAATTTACACTGAATAATAAATGACAAAACTACTGTAGCATGAATATTCGTGCTCTACAGCAGGACAGCTCAGTCTTTACTTCCCAAACACATTTTGCATACACTGCCCCTATAATAAGCCATGTTTTTATCTGATCTTATTGTCTGGTGGTCTGGTACTTTCACATGTTGGATGTCTTTGGGATGGGTAATGGTCCAACTAGCTAATAACATATAACCAACAGAGGTAGCAGAATCAAATGTGGGTTTTTTTTCACTGCCACTCAAGACCAAAAGGAGTTAGCTCTCTAGCTGCTCCTACATGGGTTTACTTCATTTTCAGAGTGTACCATGCATATTGTCCTTGAAAGTGATATGTTAATTATGGTGAATTAAGAAAGGGACTTTGCAAATGTGATTAAGGTAAGAATTTTGAGATGGGGAGAATATCCTGAATTATCCAGTTGGGCCATAAATGCAATTACAAATGTCCTTATAAGAGGGAGACAGAGGGAGATTTTCCTACATAAAAAAGCAATGTGACAACTAAAACAAGATAGAGCTAGCTTTGAAGATGAAGGAAAGAGCCATGAGTCAAGGAGAGCAAAGAATACAGCTGGAAAAGGGAAGGAAATTGATTTTCCCCTAGAGTTTCCAGAAGGAGCACAACCCTGCCGATAACCTTGATTTCAAGCTAGTAAAACTGATTTTGAATTATTAACTTCTACAGATGTAAGAATAAATGTGTTTTTTTTAGTTTCAGGTGTACAAAACAATGTAATAGGTAGACATTTACACCCCTCACAAAGTGATAACCTCCCTCCTTTAGTCTACGACCCCTCTGACATCGTATATAGCTGTTACAATTCCATTGACTCTATCCCCTGTGCTGTACTTCACATTCTGTGAGTGAATACATATATAATTATAGTTGATATTCAGTATTATTCTGCTTCAGCTTCAGGTATACACTACACTGATCAGGTATCTACACCGTCCATGAGGTGGTCACCCTAATAAGACCAATGTCCATCGGATACCGTATTTATCCGATACGTAAAGATTTATGTGAAATCTTTACAACATTATTAAATTCCCCAAACTGTCTTTCCTATCCCCGTGGCAATCTTGTGGTTACCAATTTGTGTTTTCTAATCCCCTCACCTTCTCCCTCATACAATGTGTATTGTTTTAAGCCTTCACGTTTGTGATTATTTGTTACATCAGCACTAGAAAACTAATACAAATAAACAAGGTCTACTACTAAACCCATTCTGACTTACTTGAATGTAAATATTTGTAATAACATTGTTTAAAAATAAACATTTTTGGACAAATGTTAGATTAGATGGGATGACAGGTCAACAGGCAACATTTCTGTGAAGAGCAAAACCAGGAAGCATTTTTATCATAGAGGTAATTTATGTAAAACCACCTGCCCAGGACCTGGCACAGCAAGGGTTCAATTGAATGAGTTTTCTTAGTTCCATAGAGGAGAAGAACCATGACTTTTTAAAAAACTTTTTTAGACAATTGTAGATTTACACGTAGTTGTAAGAAAAAATATGGAGCGAGATCTTATGACCTTTACCCATTTTCCCTCAATGGTAACTTGTGTAACCACAGTACAATATCCCAAACAGAAAATTGAAGTTGATATAATTCACTGACCTTATTCAGGTTTCATCATTTTACATGCATTCATTTGTGTGTGAGTGTGTGTATTTAGTTATGTGACATTTTACATGTGTTTTCCCAGATGCAATTTCATTAATCCCTACATCTCTCTGAGAGGCGTTATCAAAAAAATGGCCAGCATAGGAAAAATGACTTACCCATGGCCCTATGGTATGCCTGGCCCCCAATGTTCTATTGCATGTTTTCTGCAAAGCCTCTTCTTTCTTTTTCAGTGGGTTATATTGCACGTATTATTCTCAAGAAAATAACAGAGTAAAAAAATGGAATGGGAAAGTATATGAAATAAAATCAAATGGGGCGATGATTTTCTTTTATAATCCCTATGGAACTGGTCCAGTGATTGTTTTCCTTCTTCCTAAATTGTCATAGAAATCACTTTAGTACATATAAATGACATTGAAGTTAATGCATAATGAAAACTTGTTCATTTCCCTTCTATTTAACATTTCCACATGTTTATCATGTAATCATGCTATTTCCATTATGTCAAAGAAATCTCCTTTAAATGAAGGATGGATGTGAGAAAGGAGGGGTTCCAAATGTTGAGTTCCAAATGTGCCATATGCTACGTATGACACTTGAAATATTTCGATTTTTTGCTCCTCACAATAATTGTCTGATATAAATGTAATTATTTCCATTTTACAAATGAGAAAAAAAACCTCAGACGCATTATGTAATTCTTATAAATCTTACCATAAGTGTAGAGATCTCAGCGAGACTAATCCTAAGCCAGTGCTCTTCTCATATAACACATTGCATGCTTTCTACTTTGTGGTCATGCTGGGCTTGGGGAAAAAACATTTTTGAACTGTGCATGTGTTCTCCTTGACCATTCATTCATGCATGGATGGATGAGTTCTAATACTTTTCTTTCTCCAAGTGGACATTTTCAGTAAATATAAGCATCTAGATCTCAGGAAAAATATCTGATATATGAATTTTAACAGAAGTGTCTGGCAAATAATAAACACCCAATAAATATCTATTGAAATAAGGAATCTATGTATCAGTGAAGGCTATTAGCCTTGATGTCTTGAGAGCCCTTATAATAAAATAGCAAAACGGACAAAATTTGTAAACAGGGCACAGACATAGAAATGTAGATGGTCAATAATCACAAGAAAAGTTTGTAACTCAGTAATAATTTGAGGAATACAAACAAAAGCATCTAAATAACTTTTACCACCTATCATTTGACAAAAATTAACTATACAAATAACCCAATAAAATGAACAAAAATTCACTGAAGAAAAAGTTTAGAACTGGCTTTGTTTGTATATGTGGAAAGAGAGAGAGAGAGAGAGAGAGAGAGAGAGAGAGAGAGAGAGAGAGAGAAGAGAAGAGCAAAAAGAGAGAAGAGAAGAGAAGAGAAGAGAAGAGGAGAGAGAGAGGAGAGAGGTGAGAGGAGAGAGGAGCGAGATATTAATACAAGTCAAGGAAATAGAAACAAAGTTATCAGTCAGAAATTAATTTAAACACTCTGATGACACCAGGTATAGAAGTGGGGTGAATAAATGAGAATTATCCTATACTTTCTGAGACAGTTTAAATTCTTGAAATCAAATCCCAGGTAATATATATGTAAGCATGTAATATAGGGAAATTTTCTCACATGCAGAAATTAGGCTGGTAAGGGTATTTTCAATGTAATAAAAAACAAAAGAGGGATGAAATAAGAAGCAGTCCAAAAGTATTTTCTGTCTAGCTATCTGTCTATCTATCTATCTATCTATCTATCTATCTATCTATCTATCTATCATCTATCTATCTATCGAACATATATATTCCCTAACTGGAGGGCCCAGGGTTT